GGGTTCCGACTCAGATAATCGGCGTGGGACATAAGAGTGCCTCTACGGTAATCTAAGGCGAAATCGAAGTCCTGTAGGTAGACCCACCAACGAGCCACCCTGGGAAGCAGGTCTCTCTTGCGTTGTGTGAGCCTTAACGCATTACAATCCGTAACGACAGCGACAGTAAAACGCACACCCACAAGATAAGGTCGAAAATGCTGCAATGCTTTTACAACTGCAAGGGTTTCAAGCTCGTACGAGTGATACCTATTCTCGGCCCCTTGTGTGAGCTTACTGAAATAAGCAACCACTCGCCTGTGGCCACCTTCGTGCACTTGCAGCAAAATAGCCCCGTATCCGACGGAACTCGCGTCCGTATGGACTTCAATCAGCAAGGACGGGTCATATACTGCAAGAACAGGCTCGTCAGTTAGGCATTCAATTAGGTCATTACGCGCAGCCTGTTGTTCCTTGCCCCAGTTAAATTCAACCCCCTTTTTAGTTAGAGCTGTTATACAAGCAGACCTTTTAGCAAAATTTGGTATATATCTGCGAAAATAACTGGCTAAGCCCAAGAACTGGCGAACCTGTTTCACATTTTTCGGTTCTGGGGACTCGACCAAGGCTGTGACTTTGCTAGGGCTCGGTCGTACCTGACCCTGGCTAATTTTACGGCCGAGGTACTCAATTTCTTCTGTTAGAAAAGAACACTTTTTTAAATTAACCGAAAACCCCGCTTCAGTCAAGGCTGTCAAAACTTGGTGCAAAAGGTCAAAACCCAGGTCTATTGTTCTACTCAATATCAGCACATCGTCGATATATACAAGCACATCACCAGAATCAATAAACTTTCGGAGAGTTTTCGATATAATACGCTGATACACAACCGGAGCATTGGCTAGGCCGTAAGGCATTTTTAGATATTCAGAATGCCCCTCCGGCGTGACAAATACCGTGAGTGGAATGGACCCCTCGCTGACTGGGATCTGGTGGAAACCAGTAGCCATATCAAGACTGGTGAAGTACCTGTTATGACCTAATCGATCTATGTAGTCGTCTATACGTAGGAGTGGGAATCGGTCTTTAACAGTCACTTCATTTAACTTGCGAAAATCCACGCACATTCTGTCCGATCCATCTTTCTTTTTTACTAAAAGAATAGGGCTCGCGTAATCCGATTCCGACTCACGTATGATCCCCTTTGAAACAAGGTCACTAATTATTTCACGTACCCGAAGTATCTCATTGTGAGACATCCGATAAGGCCTGTAGCTAATGGGAGTGTCACTAGTCAGTCTTATAGTGATACATCCCGCATTAACAGTTGATGTCGCAGTACTAGAAATGAAATACTCCGAAAACTTGTTTATTATATCAAGCAAACGCTGTAGCTGGTCACCAGTTAACGGCGTGTTGACTGAGATTGACTTATCAGACTGAATAGCCATCACTCTCTCGCAATTAGTCGCTTTCCTAGTTAATGATTGAGAATCTCCGGTGCGAACATATTGAACACCTTCCCTATTGAGTACGTCAGTTCCCACAATAATAGGCGTATTCATGAACTTGGACTCCACCACGAACAAATCTACTTCGAGCGTTAAGCCGTCAAACTCTATTGGCAGTGTTACGTAGGAGGTAGTCTCAAGTTCCTGACTACCCAATCCGCGTAAAATGCGAAAACTAGGCTTATGTGCACAATCAAAATGTTTCAATAATGCTGACGATATAAGAGATATGGTCGACCCACTATCGATCAAAACGTCCACCGGAACACCCTGAATTACGGCTACAACAACGTCGCTTTTCGGGGTATCCTTATTTTCAACGCAAAAATTGACATTGTTTTTGTTTCGTGCCTCAGATTTTTGCTTTGCAAAACATTGATCCATTTTGTGACCAGGCTTTTTGCAATATGAACAAAGCTCCGATTTAAATGACGTAGAAGTAAGCCTTCCGAAAGAAACACCGGAACTGTTAAGGTTAGGGGTCTCATTTGAATCTGTTTTTATTTTCTTGCAAAAAGCCTGTTTATGTCCGCGAAGCCCACACGAAAAACACTTGCCCTCTTCCAACTTTCGTTTACTATTTTGTGTACTCCGACTTGGATTATTCTTATTATTATTCGAATTATTATGCAAAGTGGATTGAGGACGAGTCCTAGAAGTGGAATGTTTCACATAAATCGAAAGAAAACCGACTAAATCCTGAGGCAATAATTTAGCATTTGTGGCTGATGCTTTAATGTGGGGATCGGTGATACCGCGTATCACAATTGCCGAAATAAGTTCGTCACTGAGTCCACGGACAACACTTAGCCGAAGCAGTAAGCGTCGAGCGTAGTCAGCGTACGTGGAATAATTATCTGAATTTGTCGACATAACTTCATACAAAATGTTTGCAATATCTGGCGTTTTCGGGCATAACGGTGTAAATTCCTTTTTGAAATTACTCCACGTACGATCACTCGTAACCCACTCGCGTAACCACAAACGAGCATCACCCTTCAAACAATTTCCTATTCGCGCAAGACACTCGTGATCACTCCAATTATTTGACAATTTTGCACGATCAACTTCCTCACACCAGTCACTAATGTTATCTAAACTAGGATCAAAACAAGAAATAAAATAATTTTGGTCAGATCTCACCCGATTACTGATGGAACAAATAGCATCCACAATGCGATCTGTTACCGACACCTCACTGGCGGCCACAGGTGGTTGCATCGAGGTTTCAACCGAGGGGCCGGCACGAAATTTGGCGGCCGATTCGGAGGTCATCGTTGGCAAAGGCGGCGTATGCGATCGCAGCGTCTGCGCGGACCGCTCCAGTAACTGTGTCGTTGCGTGGGTAGAGCAAGAACTCTCGCGTCGCCGCTCCGACACGTCCACGTGGCGCCACTCTGGCGCGTCTGCCTGGCGCCGCGCTGTCGGTAACGGCGGCGGCGAGCAGCGCCCGCGTCGCGGAGAGCCGCGCGAATCTCGCCTCTCCGGTGACTGTCTCGAACGTGCCGATGATATGGTCGTCTGATTTTCTAATGCTTGTAAACGAGCTCGCATCATTTTTATTTCCCGCCTAAGATCTCGGTCCGGGGTACGTCCCGATACCTACTATGTTGCTTACTCGGTTTTCGACTATGAGAACGGCTTCCGCGTCGTTCGTGATCCGACATTTTGAGCAATTAATACGAAACTAAAACGGAAAACAAGCGAAAATGGGTAGTGGCTACCATCCCACTTCTGATTTTGTAAATGAAATAACGATTTAATTTAAAAAAAAAACAGTTATCACAAACAAACTTTTAATCAAATAATTTCAAAACAAAACTGGGCATAGGCTATTTTCTAATAATTAAATGCAAATTTAAAAATAAAATGAAAAATGTAGGTCACGCAATCAATCACTATCAACACGATGTGTACGCGTCGACGGCTCTCGGGCCAAATGGGCATGTCGCTGGGTGGCGCTGCCCTTTATAGGGGCAGATTTGTTTTCATATCTTCTCCTCCAATAATATATTGATACCGTTTAAAAGAATCTATACAATAAATATCAATACTTTTTTCACTTGCCCATCCCTATGACTGAGTCAGGGCGAAAAACCAGTGTAGTGTAATAACTGCTGTCCCTAATTAGGGGCCACGCCCTACCTTAATTCAGGTCCCCGATCACAAACTAATAAGAGTACTATATAAGCCCTGATTCTGTGTAGTGTAATAGGGGTATAAGTGAACAATAGAGGCATGGAGTGTAGATGTAAGAAGAACCGTCTCTGTATTAAAAAGTGTCCGTAGGAAAACACTAAATAAGGGTGGCGCCACTGTAGCTAGAGGGTAAATTTTAAAGAACTTTATTATAACAATTTATTGCACAGATTTTCACCATAATTCTTTTTTATAATAATTAATTTATTGTTTTAAAATGTTTTATTTTCAAAACCACACTCAACTTGTTTCACGGCGACTTTTTGTAGGTTATATTTACTATATTATTTTGGACAACGTGCGTAGTTGAGGTTTTAACTTTCGCTTTTAGCTTTCGGTCGTAGCTGTCCGTGTCAGTCAGACACAAAAAACTGTAATAATCATTTAATATATTTTTTCGTCACGCTTATCACTCAAATATAAACCTTAACTTTTCGAAAACAAGATTGTATTCGGTGTACGCAAGACTTGCTTCCGGATCCCACCTCATAACCAGTGAGTTGTCTTATTCATACACCTGTGCCACTGCATTACGCATCCTACTTACCCATCAGGCTCTACAATCTTAGAACATAAAACTTGGAAACCTACGAAATGCTATTATGCAAAATTAAGACGCACTTAGTAAACTATTTAAAACCATATCTATTGACTACTTTTTATTTTAGTCGTATTATAAAATCGTATTTATTCCAACTTACAATAATAGGTGACACTGTTCGAAATTTCAAGCGAATAATTCGTTCATCACATACTAGATGTCGCCACTACATAGGTAGTGGCGACATCTAGTATGTCTCATCTATCAGGTAGCTTTACAAAATCTTTAAAAAAAATAGTTCTATTTAGTAGAAAATAAGTGTAACAGAAATTAAGATATTTGCTTTTGTTTAACATTAATATAAAATCTGTAATGAAAATTTTTGAAATTTTCTTATAAATAAATACTGCTTACATATGCTTTCGTAAAACTATTCATTAAGAAATCCAGTAACTAGATGTTTTTGATATTTTTTTGAAACTGAATCTGGCAGCACAACAACCTGCCATTATGGAATAGTTTTATTCACGTTTCCCGCTACTTGTTTCTCGATATTGGAGTTGCGAATAACTAATATTTTATTTTATTTGGTGGAGTTGCTCCTATTTTATGAAAGTGTTTTTATGTTATTTTTTTTTGTTTTATTTTATTTATTATATTATTTACGTTGAATTGAGCTACCTATTATTCTTACAACTTCATTTCCAACGATTTGTTTTTTTGTGATATCTTGTCTCCATTGTTACATAGAATAAATAATTTAAATAATTATGTCAGATAAGCGTTGCTGTGTCCCCGGATGTAAAGACAGTAAGGGTAAGTCATCTCGTCTCCAAACAACTTGCATCAAGGGCATTATTTGTCTTAGGCTTTAACACATAAGTATGACTTTTTTAAATGTATCTTGTAAATATTTTAGGCAAGCTAGTTCTTCACAGATTTCCAAACCCAGAAAAGGAAAGTGAACGACTTAGGGTATGGATTTATGCAATTGGCGGTGATATACTAGGCCTCGAAAATATGCACATATTCAAGTATCGCCGTGTGTGTCACTCACATTTTGAAGAAAAATTTCAATGCAGAAATAACAGAATTAGTAACATTGCTGTGCCAACTTTGAATATGCCAGGTTTGTCTTTATAGATTACAGAAAAAGTAAATATGTTATAGAATTATTCAGGACAGTATATTATCAATGACATGTATAGTTTTATTGTAAAATATGTCTAATTGAGTAGGTACAATAGCATTAATTTTTACAATGATTCATTCATTAAATAAATAGAATAAAATGAAATACTACTTATATGCACTATAGAGCTTAAAAGGATAATACATGTAGCGATTCCGGTTGACAGAAGGATGAGGATATGATAATTAAGCCTAGTTTTCATAAATGTTAAGTTGGCAATGTTTTATCACCCCACTTTTTCTACTTTTTTCATTAAATAATGTTATATATTATTATTATATTGTGAAATTATACTTTTTGCAAGTCATCACAGATACTGGGCCTGTTTTTTATTGCCATATATATAAATAATTTCAAAGTTAATTAATATTCATTATTATATAATTTCAAATTCAATATTAATATTCATTATTATATAAATATTATTGCTTGAATATTTGTTTTTGTCAATATTCGATTCGATTTTAATGGAGCAATATGCAGAATTGCTTATTTGATTGGCAATTGGTTTAAAATTCATTTCAAAAATTATAAATCGCCGCAATTCCAAAGGACCTAAATTTTACTATCATTTCAATTTAATAATTAAAAAGATTAAGAAAAACAAATATTCAAGATTGGATTTGATTTTAATTTGATATAGGCCGAATATGGTTGTCACCGAATACGAATATTCGGCCGAAAGTTCAGTAAAACTTTTACCGAACAGAATATTCGGCCGAACATTATTCAACGGGATCACCTCTGTAACTAACCAATTATTAAGTAAGTACTAATTTAATTTAATGTTTTCTTTGTTTGATTCCAAAAACATTTTATCAAACTTTCTATTTGCTATAATCGGAAATAAATCTAAAGTACCTCGAAAACATAACATTTCAAGTAGACTTAACCCATAAATAAAATATACTTTCAATAGTAAAATTATGAAAGACATGACATTACTCAATTCGTACAATTCAAGTGGACATTTTTAGTACCATTTAAACGAATATTCGGTGATTTAGCCGCATATTCGGCCGAGTATCTTCGTCTCAATTTAATGGAGCAATAATGTAGAATTGTTTTAGCAATTGGTTTCAAATTTATTTCAATTGCAAACGATCTCAATTTTATTCTTGACGCATTTTAAATACATATTATAATATAAGAAGTTGAGGGCAGATTTACATTATTTAATGTTTTAAATTTAGTTCTTATCTTTGTTTTAGGCTGTTCATTAATTGCTATATTTAAGTTGAATAAATGTACTGATATTTATTATTGTCATAACTATTATTGTATTTGTGTGCTGTTTTTTAATAAATCCTGTAAATATAATGTTAGTTTTATTTATTTTGATTTTAATTATTAATATCTATGATGAGAACAATAATATTTATACGTAGGTGCTACATATACATATATATATATATATATATATATATATATATATATATATATATATATATATATATATATATATATATATATATATATATAAACGGCGTGTGCGTATATATAAGCTTATATTTATAGATATTACAATAAAGTTGCTAACTTTGGATACCAGAGGCGCTAGTTATGCATTGCCATTTTATAGGTCGAAGATTGGTCTCTATTTCAGTTTATACAAAGGTACTCTGTGTTACCCATACTGTGTTATCGTGCCCACTTGCGCAGAGTAGTAACGAGCTTAGACTACAGAGCCATGTATCGCTCACCAACTAAACGCTACGATAGTAATGCAGATCTATACGAAATGAGTGTAACGCTTCGTAAGCGTAAATACGAAGAGGATGTGTCGGATGCTTTTAGGATATTCACAGAGCCATATTATCCAAACTGGACACTATAAAAATTGACTTTGATGACAAAATATCGCAAATAAATGACAGCATAAACACCATCATGAAACAAGATATATCAAAACTCAATGATACCATTATGGGGATGAAATCAGATATTAACTACATTCGAGAGGATTACCGCAAGATAAACACAAATATCAAGATTTACATAAAAAACAAGCTCCTCTGGAAAAGATGATATCTCTTAAGGAATCGACACAATTTACATCGCATGAGCATGACACCATAAAAAAGTGTACAGACACTATACAGCACAAACAAAAATGTTGAGGAAATGCGCCGTGAAATTATTGAATTGAAAAAGCAGAACACTGTGCTTAGAACAGATATCAACTACAAAGAACAAATGAAGCGTCTTTTGAATTTAGAAATGAAATGAAATGAAATGAAATGAAAGTTTATTGTTTCCAACATTTTCTTAAAATTAGTACGAGTTTGAGGACTTCTTTTAAGTATAAAGATACTTGTGATAGAAGGTCATCGCCCTCCCTTAACTAAGTACAATTAACATAAGAGAAACAGTGTGTGTGTGTGTGTGTGTGTGTGTGTGTGTGTGTGTTTTTTTTAGTGTGTGGGTGTGTGTGTGTGTGTGTGTGTGTGAGTGTGTGTGTGTGTGTGTGTGTGTGTGTTTGTGTGGGTATGTACGTGTGTACGTATGAGAAAAAGACAGTGAGTGAATGCATTTATAGGATAGATTCTAATAAGGCTTCAGTTTGATCGTAATTAAGTGTCTTAAGCCACTGCATTATTTTTTTCTTACAATCGTATGTCTTTAAAGGATATATTTGCAATATTTTGTTAATTTGATTATATAAGTGTTCTGATCGTTTTTCATATTGATTTTTCGCAAAGTTGGTTTTCGTACTGCGTATAGGAACTACACTATAATTTCTTCTTTTACTACCGTAAGTAGGATTAAAAGACAAAGACTTATGTTTTTTTAACAAAGTGAATAATATGTACAAGTGCCTCACTGAAATCACCCCACAAGATGAATACAATATGCTAGTGGGGAACCTATATGGCTTAAAATGTATAACTTTCAATGAACATCTTTGAGCTCTCTCAGCTTCAATAAATTTACTTTTATAAGTACCCCCCCCCCCCAAATAGGTGTACAATATATTATTATAGATTGAGCAAGTGCTACATAAATTTGATTTAAAAGGTCTGGACAAGCAACATATCTTAAAGTTTTAAATATCCAAGTGAGTTTTCGAATTCTAGTAGACACTAATTCGACATGTTTGTACCAGGAAAGTCGTTGGTCCACCATAACACCCAGATACTTTATGTATGAAACTTTTTCAATAGATGTACACGTACAGTTACCGCTGGAAGGATTGTAATATTTATGTATTTTAAGTCTAAAATCATCTTTTGGCTGTGATCGGCTAGTTATAGAAAAACATATGAATTGAGTTTTATTAACATTCAAAGTAAGTAAGTTATTATCAAGCCAACAAGCAACCTTAGCTAATTGTTTTTCCGCTATCAATTGCACTTCTTCCCAAGTGTCTCCCCAAAATAATATCGCAGTGTCATTTGCGTATGAGAAAACTCTTCCTCTATTCACACTCATACTACACAGATTATTAATATACACTAGGAATAACGTAGGGCCGAGTACGCTTCCCTGCGGTACACCATAATTAACATTTGTATAGCTACTACTGTATTGACCTATTCTTACAATCTGTGTCCTATCAGAGAGGTAATCCTTTAAAAGTTTTAGAGGTATACCTCTGATACCATTCTGTTCTAATTTATTAACAAGAATGGGGATTGATACAGTATCAAAGGCCTTTTTTAGATCCAGGAAGACAGCAAGACATTTTCTGCCGCTATCCAAGGTATTTACAATTTGAGAACTTAACGCGGCAACTGCATCTTCCGTAGAGCATCCCTTTCTAAATCCGAATTGAGAGTCTGCTAATATTTTAAATTTAGAGAGATACTGTATAAGTCTATTGTTAACTAACTTTTCCAAGATCTTTGAGAACACAGGCAGTAAGGAGATTGGCCGATAATTACCAACTTCTTTCTTATCTCCACTTTTGTAAATCGGTATTACAATAGATTGCTTCAGCAGCTTCGGAAAGACACCCTTTTCAAAGCATATATTAACAAAATGGCAGAGGATGGGGACGAGTAGTTGTTTCGCCATCTTGAGAAATCCGGTTGAAATATTGTCCCAGCCAGGGGCGGAATCTGATTTGAGACCTGAAATAATACTGTTGATCTCTTCCGGATAGGTTTCAATCAAAACAAAGGAAGAATGTGCCTTTACAAATACAGTTTTATGTGCTTCATCAATATGGCAAAAAGATAAACAATTATTAGGATCGTTAGTAGTCATTTTCTCGGCAAGATTTTTACCCACACTAGCAAAGTACTCATTTACTTTATCAATCAAATCAACTGGTGAGGATTTCGAACTTAACAGGTCTAAACTATTGACACTTGATTGTTTTGTATGGGTTATATTCTTTATGTGCTTCCAGAGAGTTTTACTTGATTTGGATGATATTTCCAAAAGCTTCCTTTCATATTCCCGTTTAAGTTTCTTAATTAATTTAGTAACATAGTTGCGATACCTTTTGTATGTAATTTTTAATACTTCATTATAAGGATTCAATCTTAGCTTCTTTTGCATACTATTCCTATTTCGTATACATTTTAAAATACCTGTTGTTATCCATGGTTTAATTTTTCGCTTATTACTAGAAATATTTACAATTTTTGTATTTTCTTCAATTGATTCTTTTATTTTGTAAATTAATTGATGTATTATATATTCCGGATTATCACTAAAAAGAAGGTTAGATAGGTTTTTTTGAGCTAGACTGGCAAGTGCTTTATAATAGTCAGTGTTGTGTTTAATTTTAACATTAATTACTTTTTGTCTAATATTGCTTAATTTGAGTAATATCATAGCATGATCTGTGATAGAAGTGTTCAGTACAGCAATCTCAGCAGAAATAGTTTGTTGATTTAATTTTAGTATGAAATGATCCAAGCAGCTGTTCTCTCTTGTAGGGATATGATGTCCCGGTAAAAGCCCATACGTAGAAAGCATATTTAAGTATTTCGACCTATTAGTTATTTCGTATGTTTGTTCTGTAAGCCTAGGTGTAATATTTATATTAATATCTCCCGTTATTACAATATTTGAATGCTCTTTTAACGAGTCCAGGTGCTCACTAAGAGAACTGATGAATTGTTCTGCGTTGGGATTCGATGGTGACCTATATATGCTCAGTATTACTAAGTTTTGTAGATGGATTTGTATGCAAGATGCATGAGTCAACTGAATTTTCTTGACTTGAGATGAAATATTTTTTTAATATAGACCACTACTCCATCATTTTGATTAACATGATGATGAGTAATATACTCATTATAATTACCTGGACGTGGAATAGGTTTGGTAGATTGAATCCTACATTCTGTCAGTATTAATATGTCGGCATTAACTTGAAGAGAAGAAGAAGAGAAGTTAAAGTCAGTTGAAAATCGTCATAGTTGGAATAAATACTTCTTATATTTTGGGTTACAATAGTGAGATCTGTTGTGGTAAATTTTAAATATTTTTTTAAATTTTCTACATCACATTGATATGCGGAAGCTATCTCTATATTGTCCAATTCTTGTAAATTATTGAAAATATTTTTATCCATTGACATTATTGTTAAAGACAGACGGCAAAGGTCGAATGTTACAAATATACATAATACTGTGAGATATGTGTGGTGCAATATTTGTTATATGTATTTTTATATGTAAATGAAGTGTGTTTACAAAATTTGTGATTTTACATTTATGATATTGTAGCTTATACATTCGATTTACTAAAAATATTGTACATTGTAACTTTTTGTTGAATTTAGAAATAGTTGGTCTCCCTGAGGATAAATGCGAGAACCTAACGAATATAATCATAGCCTTGGGGAACCAATTTGGAGTCCCGTTGGAGCATAACGATATTATTCATGCAGAGTACCAAGTAGTATCCAAGGCAGAACGAGAGTTATAGTGGCAAAGTTAAGGTCAAGATGCTGAAAGACAATCTGATATTATATATATAATATATAATTATATATTATATATTATATATTATTATTATAATTACGAGCTCATGACTAATGTACAAACCATTCGCGCAATTATTGTGCGTCGACTGAGGGCGAGTATCATTAGCCAGTTAATAAAAATATCATTATTTATGAAAATTATTCGCGTACACGTAATTTACGATTAACATTTGCTTGCAGTAATATGGATGATTATTATATATATGCAGAAATACTATTTGCAATAACACATCAACTATTTACAATTACTACGCGAAAATTTACTTACTCGTATCCAAATTCCTAAGTAATATTTTAGATAAAAAACTAAACTACCATAACCCAAACAGAACATTAATAGAATACCATTATAACAAATAATAGAAACTCGCACCCTTTTTTGGTGAGAAACCTTTATTCACTTCGATTCATGATAAACTTAAACAACCAAGACCTCTTGTTCGCGCCGTCACCAATCTCGTTTAAGTATTATATTTTTTCAAGTATACCTTCTTAACTATAAATATTTTTACTGTCTTGACGAATTTACATTGCATGGTACTTTTAGGTAGGATCTGGGTGTGTGTGTTCTTACTTAGGAGACTTATGACAGTATTTAAATACATCCGCAAGTCATATTACGCTGATACTTTTATTATAATTTTGCTTGATAATTAGAGTAGTAGAGTAGCAATTTTTTAGAAATGGCTAACTCAAACGTGTAGTGTCAGAATATTCGTGGCCTTAGGACAAAAAGTTTCGAATTTAGACAAAAATTATTATGTAATGACCTGGATGTTATCACTATTACTGAAACATGGCTTCACGACGGTATCTACGATAGAGAGTTATGTGACGGTCGATAGGATGTATTTAGAGTGGATCGTGATCTAGCTCTGAGCGGAAAGGAGTCAGGCGAGGGGGTAATGATACTGGTGCGCCGGGAATTTGAAACTGTGCAGAGGGATCTTATTGACTCCCATGCCACAGAAATAATATTAGTAAAAATACCTGCGGGCACGCTCTCATCACGTAATGACCTTTATTTATTGGCGGTTTATATACTTCCTGATCCTATAAAAATTTCATTAGATATTCACTACACGGTCAATTTAATCGAGCACTTGCATAGTATGAATACCGATAGTCACTTTTTAGTAATTGGCGATTTTAATTTACCTTGTATCAAATGGGACCGAAATGGACCGCATCATACAAAATATGGTAGTGTGGATGTACAGAATGCTGGTATATTTATTACGGAAAGTTTAAGTTTTTTAACCTAAATCAGTATAACATTTTGAAA